TCTGCTGATGACTCTGAACACAGGGGCCCCCATGTCCCTCTGCTGATGACTCTGAACACAGAGGCAGAGGTCTTCCTTGCCTTCTGTGCCTTGCTTGACTGATCCCTTAAGCCATGAGCCAAATCAAACCCTTGCTTTCTGTGAGTTATTTGTTGGAGCCCATCGGGGCAGAGAGGAGCTGATGGTTTCTGCCCTGGCCAGACCAGAGAAGCTTCCCCTCACAGTGGACAGCAGTTAAAGCAGAGAGTCCGGAAGTTTTGAGTGTGCCACAAATAAGAGACATGGATGTCACCCCTCCACCAGGCTCAGGGAGCACTGCCGAGTGGGAGCATAAAGAATGTGAGGAGGGTCGGGAGGAGCGCTAAGGAATGCTGGCTTCTGCACATGGCAGGGGGCGGGGCACGTAGCTGTGGTTGCCTGTAGGAGATCAAGACAGTCAACATTCCAGCAGGGGTGAGGAAGAAACTCTTGACTCTGGCTGAGGGGCTGTCGGTGGCTACTGTGGGATGGAGAGTCATGTTTCTTTGGGAGTGTGGCCATTGGTAGCTTGCCCATGATCCATCCAGGGGATGACCCCACACTCAGGCTCATGTAGGTAGCACTAAGTGGATTTGTTGGGTTATATCTTTTTCAAGAGAGGAGGAGGCAGAGTAAAATCGGGATGAGGATGTATGTTGGAGAGAAGGAGGAAGAGGGGTATGGGGGTGGATATAACCAAAATACATTGTATACTTACTATGAAACCCTCAAAGAATAAACAAATGTGTGTGTGTGTGTGTGTGTTTTAAATACACATCTAAAGCCATGCAGTGATGGCACACAGTTTTAACTTGGGAGGCAGAGGCAGGTGGATCTCTGAATTTGAGACCAGACTGCTCTACAGAATGAGTTCCAGGACAGCCTGTCTCGAAAAACTAAAATAAGATAAAAATACACATCTGATCCAGGCATGGTGGCACATACCCTTAATTCCAGCACTATGGAGGCAGAGGCAGGTGGAGTTCAAGGCCAGCCTGGTGGACATAGTGAATTCCATGACAGCCAGAGCTACACAGAAAAACCTACTTAGAAAAATGAGAGGAAGACAACTTCAGACTTGAGATGTAACTTAGCTGTAGGGCGCTTACCCTGCGTTTCATCCTCAGTACAGTTATTTACATAGTTAATTAGAGACATGGTTCTCGACTCTGAGCTCATCTGTGAGAACCCGTAAACTGTGGGAACATGGTAGCAGTTCTATGACATTACACACTTGTTTTGGCTCAGCCCTAAAGGGATTGTCAGGATGTGGAGCCTAGTACCCCGATGCATGATAAATCAATAAAGGCCTATTTCAGATACCTAGTAGCAATGAGAAGGGACTGCGCATTGAATACTGCATCTCTCAATGGACTCTATAATTAGTTGCTTTTCATATTGATTTCATTTTAATGTCTTGAGATGGGTGCATACACACACAACATACATACATACATACATACATACATACATACATACATCATGGGTAGATCAATTATGAGCAAGCCAAAAATGTATTTGGAATATTTCCTAACATCTTTAAATATCTTCTTTATCTCTTTACCTCAGTATTTGACCAATTAAGTCTTAAAGTGCTCTGTCCAACCACACAGTCCAGATTTTTTTTTATTTTAATGTAATTGCTGTAATACAAAGAAGGCATGAGTAAGACGCAGAAAAATGGGGCTGCCGTCCAATTCTTTCAATGGGAAAATTCCCAGAAATGTGGGAAACTGCCGGAAACGCCTGGTTAATGTGACTGACCATTGCAGATTCCGGCTGAAAGCCAGAAGGCACCCGCTGGTTCCCACTCTGTGGAGCAAGGCCAGTCCCTCCAAGCCAGCAGCTGAGAAAGACACGAGGATGCTCCTGTGGCCGGGACCATGTCCAAAGTCCCTTCCTCTCTAGGACAATGTCCAAAGTCCCTTCCTCTCTAGGACCATGTCCAAAGTCCCTTCCTCTCTAGGACGGTGTGTCTTCTTGCTGTAGAAGGTGTCTGTGGTAGGAGAGGAGTAGACCTTCCGAACCACGCTCGGCATCACTAGATTGCCGCCTCCTAGAGGCAGCACTTAGAATATCTTTGCATCTGTCTGTTTGCCACCTTACACAGCCCCTGTGCCTAGCCCCCAAGAGGACACCACATGATGCCTGGACCAGATATCAGTAGCTTCCGATTTCAATTATCGCCACTGTGATTAGGCCACTTAAAGTAGAAAGTGCTTTGAAATGCAGCCTGCCTTTGCAGCCTCCCCCACAGACTGGATAGCACAGCGCTGAGTTGGGTTTTTCCCAGTTGAGCCTGAGGCCTCTCGGGATGTGGAGGGATCTGGTGTGGGAGGAATCTGGAGAGTTTAGTGCTCTCTGCTTCCGTTCTGGTGTGGGGTGCTATGGCAAGCAGGAAGTTCGGTCCTTACTATTAAAACGAATACTTTACCAAGAATGCTGGAACACAGCCATTTCCTCCAGCCTTCTTAAGAAAAAAAAAATGTTGGAACACAAATCAGCCCAACAGCTGCATTCTCAGGATGCTTGAGACAGTACTCATCTTTCACAAGACTGAGTGTCTGAGAAGAGAGAAAGCCTGTTGGTTGGCCTGGCCTCTGCGTGGTCCCTGGGAGCCTGGGCCGTCTGCAGTGCTGCCCTACCAAGATGGACAGTGTAACTTCATCCTTGTGGTACACATACGGATGAGTAGGTGCGCACGCACACGTGTGCACACACATACGTGCGCGTGCACACACACACGCACACACACGCACGCGCATACACACACGCGTATGGCATGAAGAGATGCGATCCCTGAACCTTTCTCTGTGTCCCCTGAACAGCAGATTCTCTGCATTGTGTATATACGTGTGTCTCCTGCACCCAGCTGTAAGGAGAGGGCAAGCCATCTCACCTTTCAGACAGTAAGAGCTCGCAAGCAGTGAAAATGACACTGAGACAGGAAAGGTGGGACCTCAGCTAACATGGCGGAAGTTCTTCACATCTAGAAGAAGCACCTTTGTCTTTTCCATGAAAAACAGTTACCACTCTGAAGTCCTTTAGAAGGGAAGACAGACTCCCGATGGAGCTCTTGGTTTTTTTACTTTGAGTTGAGCAGCGCTGTTCACACAGCTCCATGTAGAGCCCATTCATTACTAAAAGTCATTTCTTGCGGCACGGTTTCTAATTTGCCACAGAGTGATAACCAAAGAGACCTTGACAAATTAATTGGAAGCCTTCTCCTGAGGTAGCTCCTGCATTTTTTAAAAGAGTAACTCTCGGTAGAGTTTATCAGTAAATTACTTCATATATCCTCAGCATTAAATTATTTCCCCATTAGGAAAATTATAATTCTTTTCTTCCCAATAATGAAAGAAAAATGAAACTATCTTCAAACTATTCTGGCTTGGCTGTGGGCCCTTATTTCAGTAATTTCGGGAATGCCTCGCTCAGAAGCCATTAAATACATAAAGCTCAGGGGAAAGTGATGAGGAAAAGAGTGAGGAAAAACAGAGATTATGATTTCAAATAAATGCCGTCAACTGAAGAAAACTCAAGGCCAAAGAAGGAGAGGACTGCTCCCTCAAGGGAGGAAGCTGGTGTGGGGGAGGGACGGAGCAGGAAGGAAGCCTAGTCTCTCTTACTGGACTTCCCGAAGTCCACAACCTTGGAGGCTGTAGTGTGTTCCCTCACTGCTAAACAAGGAGTGAGCACTGGTAACAGTCTTTCTGCCCTGTGGTCACCCCTGGGCACTCGTGAGTCAGGTGGACAGGTGAGGTCCTCCCATCCGGCTTCAGTGGAGAGGAGATCCTGGTGAGACCTGGCACGCATGGTCTAGCCACACCTCTTTCTTTCTGGTTTGTTTGTTTTTTCTGTAGACAGGAAATACAATGAGTCATCTGTTTACCAAGAATTAAATTACAAGCCAATGGGGGGAGTATGCCACCTCAATGTACTCAGCCAAACCCTGCTCCTGGTTCTCCCTGACACTTGGGGAATTAAGTCAGCGAGCATTGTGGATTTTCTGGATTTTGTTTATTTGTGTCTAGACTTGGCTAGGTAGCAGTGGCCATTACATACTGTCTTTTGTGAACCTCTTTGAGGTCTCCAGTCACTGGACCTCTTTCTAGTAATCCTGGGTGCTGTCTCAGCTCTGAAGGTTAAGAGAGAGTAAATGAGAGCTAAGAGAGGTGTTTGACTTAAATCTCAAAATAGATCAAAGACGTCAGTGTGAGACCTTCTAGAAGAAACCGTGGGGACACTTCAAACACGGGCCCAGGCTGCGGGAACTCTGGCTCATCAAAAACCAGAAGGCATAAAGGAGGAAGGGGCTGGTTGGAAAGAGGAAGATCAGCAGATGTGGACAGGACAAAGACAGCAATGGGGTGCTAAGTATGATCAAAACATGTCATTTACATGCACAGGCATGCCTTAGTAAAATGTGTCGTCATATATTACAGCACACTAATGAGACATTAAAATAGAAGTTTTGAGAGTAGACAATAAGTGTCAAATGCTTACCCTGGTTCTGCACCTTATTCTCAATGTAGTATAACTACCTGCTTATACCTGTGATATCCTAGAAATCTGGGCCTTGATTTTTATGTGCACAGAGAACAGATTTAGTGTGCTTGTGCGTGTTTAAGGCCACCTCTTACTGATAGTTGTATTTATCTGTCTTTCTGAAGACAAGGACAGCCATGTTTTCTCAGCCGAGAATATCATCAAACTTCCAGTCAGACTTTCCACATCTGCCCGTTTTATACAGTGCTGCTATGTCTTTGGGGCATAGAGCAAAATGCAGATGAGTTTTTAAACCTTAAAAACAAACAAGCACAAGATGTAGGAGAATGAGAACACTTGGTTTTCTTCTGCTGCCTCTGAGGTGACATAGGAAAGCCTGAGACACAGAGCCATCTGAGGTCTGGATGCCACTATTGCCTTCCTCCCGGTGAGTATGGGAGACTCCACCTAAGCCTGCTTCATTTGTTTTATAGATCATGCAGCAGATGAGTGACCATCGCTATGACAAGCTCACTGTACCTGATGACATGGCCGCTAACTGCATCTATCTAAATATCCCTAACAAAGGGCACGTCTTACTGCACCAAACCCCAGAAGAGTACCCAGAAAGCGCAAAGGTAAAACACACCGTCTCTCCTGCAGCTAGCCTCCCTGGGGACCGGTCTCATGATGGAGGGACAAAAGAGGATGTCTATTTTGCTACACTTACCAACACTGAGACACTGATCGTTGAAAGCAAAGGAAGTGCTTATTTACTTCTCTTTGGTGCCATTGGTCAGTCACGCATACACAGTGGTTCGGATGCTGCTGCCCGTTGCTCAGAGTTTTACATGCAATCTCCACCAGAGTCTCTGGACCTGGACTTTTTCCTAAACTAAGGAGATCATCACCCTGTGTCAGGGCAGTCTTCTGTCTCCGCCCTTTTCTCTGTTTCATCGTAGAATACATAACCAGCTCGGCCACTGGGTCTTCAGGGTCTCTAACCTCTAGGCATTCTTGAGATCATCCCTCCCCAGAGGGATTTATAACAAATACGATAGAAGAACATTGATTTTGTTTATGTCCTATGCTTTGAAAAATGCTGCACGTTACTTTATGCTATTTGCCTGTGAGTGCATGTGTGTATATGTGTGGCGTGGGTGGGTGCATGTGTGAGTGTGGGAGGGGTGCATGTGTGGGTGCATGTGTTCATGAATCTGTGTATGTATGTGTGGATGTAGGTGTGCGTGTATGTGTGTGTGCATGCATGTGGTCATGTATGCGTTTGTGCATGTGTGGGTGCATGTTGTTCATGCATCTGTGCATGCTTGTGTGGGTGCACTTGTACATGTATGTGTGGGTGTAGGTGTGCATGTATGTGTGTGCATGCATGTGGTCATGCATGTGTGGGTACATGTGTGCATGCATGTGGGTGCATGCGGTCATGCACGTGTGGGTGCATGTGTGCATACATGAGTGTGTGCACGTGTGTGTGTGCATGTGTGGGTGCATGTGGTCATGCATGTGTGGGTGCATGCGGTCATGCATGTATGTGTGCATGTATAGGTGCATGTGATCATGCATGTGGGTGCATGTGTGGGTGCATGTGGTCATGCATGTGTGGGTGCATGCGGTCATGCATGTGTATGCATGTGTGGGTACATGTGTGCGTGCATGTATGTGTGTGCATGTGTATGTGTGGGTGTATATGTGTGTGCATGTGTGAGTGCATGCAGAAGCCTAAGGACAACATTGGCTCTTTCCTCAGGGCCACCTACCCTTTGTTTTTGTTTGTTGTTGTTTTTGGTTTTTGAGATGGACTCTGTCCCAGGCCTAGAACTCACCAAGTAGGCTAGGCTGACTCCCAGCAGCCCTGGGACCAGACCACAGTTCTCCACTGCCCCCGTGCTGGGGTTACAGATGTGTGCGTCACTGCACTCAGCTCTCCACATGAGTTTTTGGCAAAGGTCCTTACGCCTTCAGGGCACTCAGCTTTACTGACTGAACCATTCCCCAGCCCCAATCTCCTTTTGCATAGGCAGGACTACATTGGACTAGGTTTATCCTCTAATCATGGTCACTTTTAGTACCCGAAAAGAGGGCTGGGGTGATGGAGAGGCAATTTTGTTCTCTTTCCATAGGAGAGGTGTGAGCCTAAAAAAAAATATAGAACTCCCAATCCCAAACAAGTACTAAAGTAGCTACACTCTTATGTCTGGGATTGTTAGCAAATGCAGGTTCCAGGGCCCCCAGCCCAGAGTCTGCAATAAGAACAAGCTGCAAGTCCACGCAGCCTACTCTGAGGACTTCATGCCTCCTCAGCCTCATTGATCACCTAGCAACCAGGTATCATTAACTGCCTCCAAGTTCAGTCTGATGCCCATCAACAGTAGAATAGCATCAGTAACACCTTTGCTTGTCAAGGGTCTTTCTGAGGCACACACTGTGCTAAGCATGCCTTAAACATTACCTTTAGTCCCTGTAATAGCACTATGGCTAAGCATGCCTTAAACATTACCTTTATTTAGTCCCTGTAATAACCCTATGGCAGTAGTATCCCAGCCTTCCAGAGAGGTGGACAAGCTTAGATGGGATGTCACTTAACTGAAACGGCAGTAGCAAGTTGATGGGATTGGATTTGGATCCACCTGACTCCTACACACTCACCAATGTGCTGAATTTTAAGGCACATGGTGTTTCTGAAAGCATCAGGGCAGGTTCTTTTCAAGCAATGTTTTCAAGTAATTTTGTTTTTTAAGAGTGTGTTTTTGATCACAGGGAAAAGAATGTGTGGACTGTTAATTAGATGTTTTGACACGCACTTTCCATTGCGGTTGAAAGATGCTATAAAATTCACACCTACAACTTAAACACAGTGTGACCGGCCTTGCGCACTTAACTTGCATGCTCTGACACTCTTCTGGCAGAGTTGGTAAGGGCAGGAGCATGAGAGTGTAGTTAAGAGTGCGTTAAAGTGAGGAGAGGGAGGGTTGTTCAAACTACGCACGCAGCCATGGGGTTTCGATTATCACTGAATCCAGGGTCGACAATGACAGAGTAAAGGCAACTCTAGCAACGTTCATGCTGGTGACACATCCTTTGCTTTGAAGTTATAGCACAGAATAAGCGGCCATCCATTTGTGGCCAGCTCTGGGGTAGGACTGTGGACATGCGTACTGAGGTTTAAATGACTGAAAAACATAGATATATAAACCGAATTAGTTCTCTGTCCCTGGGTGTGGTGAAACAGGCCAGACCGTAACCCTGTCTCCCTTCCCCTCTTGATTCCGGCATCTGCAGGTTTATGAGAAGCTGAAAGACTATCTCCTGATCCCCGTGAGCAATTCGGAGATGGAAAAGGTGGATGGTCTGCTCACCTGCTGCTCCCTTTTTATTAACAAGAAGACAGACTCCTGAGCCCAGGAGCCCCTCCCCGGTGGCCAGAAAGGTGGCCAGGCCAGGCTGATGACTCCATGCCCACTCCTCTTGTTTTCCTTGACAATCTACTGTGTCACTGTGCTACTAACTCTTGTTTACAGAAAACAAAATTAACTCCGATTTTAACTGCCCCATTTTCCACACCCTCCCTCACCTCACGGTGGTACCTAACCTGTGGATTAAGCAACCCAGACAATACAGAATTAATGAATTATTAAGAATGTGATTAATAGTGTGGGAACACTCAGTTCAGTGTTTGTGTGCCTAGTGTGGAAATAGTTTAGTTGCAGAGTATTCTAAAGACTGCCTTCCTGATCATCAAGATAAGCAAGGGACTTTTTTTCTCCTGTATCATGAATCACATTTGGTTCCTGTGAAATTCCCTGGCCCATGGATTTTTCCCATCCCCTTCTCTTCTACACTCTAAAAACCTTTCTTCAGATTCCTGCTTTGGCCTTTCCGACTTCTGTCACAGCCTCCTTGGCCTAGGATTTGTCCAAGGTCTTGCCTTCTGGAAACCTTCCTGAAGGTTCGCCCTGTGTGCTCTCCTTCTCCTCTGCCTCGGGGCCACATCTCCACCAGCAACCCTCCCTTCCCTGGCAGAACTGTCGCCAAAATCAGAGCGGCTGGTTAGGGAACAGGAACCTCACAGAGGCACATCCTGAGGGAGTCTGCACCAGACCTGAGTACCACCCCTGGGAAGGTAAATTCAGCCCCAGCTGGTTGACATGGGATGTTAGATCAAGAAGCCTGGAAAAAAACTCATGGGTGCATCTTAGAAAGCCTGAGTCGCATGCCATGATTTTGCCTAGTGACCAGTCCTATAGGAGCAAGGACAAAAGTCTTTCTCTACCCCACCCCCACCCCTCTTCTCAGCTTCTTTCTGACTCACTTTGTGTCTACCCCCCCTAGAATCATCATGATCTTGAAAAGTCATTTCCTTCAAAAGAGGCATAGCATCTAAAATGATTGTTGATGGTCCGGTAAGAGTCGAAGGGAGCTGCCTCCACCCATGGTCTAGGAGCGCAATCGGGAAACGGTGCCTATAGTCAACCACAAACAATGTATTAGTCTCCTTTGAAATATCCATGAATGTCTACTGTGGAATTTGGCTGAAACCTATTTCCTCTCTAGCCTTCAAATTACACAACTTTCAGCTCTTAACAAAACTGAAACAGGTCTCTTACAAAGAACAATGTCACAGCAAAGGAAGAGAGCATTCCTTTCCTTAAAAGCTGGAAGAGTCAGGCCAGGGACATGGTACTTTACAAGGAACAGTGACCCGACCGGGCACGTCATCAAACTTATGGTCACTTCCATCTTTGCTGGGTAGCCTGCAGTTTGGCATTCAATATTTAAAGCTGGGAAGACAAAGAAAGAGCACTTCAGACCTCTCCCTCTCCCTCCCTTTGTGATCAGGGTTCCTTATCTTCATGAGCAGGAGAACTGCCTTTACTGCATCCCGCACTGCAGATGGGCATGAGTAACCCCGTGAAAATCACCGCATCATTTACTGCCTTTACTGCATCCCGCACTGCAGATGGGTGTGAGTAACCCGTGAAAATCACCGCATCATTTACTGCTCTTCCTCTCTTACATTCATTTGACATTACAACTTTCTGAAGAAATATGTCCCATCTCGTCCTTGTTGCCTAACTCTACACTCATATCACATGCAAAGACCTAGCTATCTGCATCTGTGAATGAGCCGTGTCTTGGTCACTATCATATTTCAAAACATCCCATCCTGGGTGAATGATATGGTGGGGTTTTTTTTTTTTTCAGGGCAAATAAATATGAGCCACATGCCCAATAAAGAAAACTTGTTCTCAGCAATTATGGTTGCCCTTTGGGGTTAAATTTGGCTCTACGCTGGCAAAAAGCAGAAATTCTCCCCGTGAGAGGTGACCATCTCAAAGTCAACCACAGGAAAAACAAGCCAGTGTGAGCTAACCGACTTGCAATTGTCACCAGGGTTCTGTCTGTCATCCCGATTACCTGATCACAGAACTGTTGTGTTTAGTCGATTACGAGTGAATAGATTTTGCACTGTGACAATTCTTCTACCAAAGGTGATTTTTCCATTCCCTTTTCCTTTGCTTCCCGCTTTCCTTGTTTGTCCTGAGAAATCATTTGGCATCTACGCCCCTTGGCCATCTTACTGTGCTCCGCTACATCACACATCGGGCTGGCTGCTCTGGACTCCCTGTGCGTACAACGATGTAAAAATTCAAAATATTTGCAGCACAGTGGCATTGCTTCTTTGATGCTCTCATCAGCATAGCGTTATCCTCTTGTCCATTGTGGCTTACAAAGATGAAAACACTAACAAAAATGCTTTTTGACATTATAAAGACGTGAGGAATTATGTTTAAGTAAGTATAAGTTGAGTTAGAATTATTGAGTCAATATGATTTGGTTTAATTGAAAAGATGGTCTAGAAGGAACACATTATTTGGCATTATGTCTTTAACTGTGATGGTTTCGCTATAGGAATCAGTTGCAGATCTCTCTACAGTTAATTGTGCTTCTGTGCTACTAGGAACCGATTACTAAGGCCGTCCTCTCTCCATCTCTGAGAAGGGAAAATAAAATAGTCTAGTTTCACAGTGTGGCTTCCGTAGGGTTGCATGTTTGTCATTGTAGTTATTCACTCTGTAACATGCTACAGAATTCAGACGTGATTTCCATGGGGTCTTAGGTCTGTGCTTTTTTCTCTTCTTGGCTGTCATCTTCCAGGCGATGTGTGGTTTTCCAGTATGTGTGCCAAAGCTAGCCATGTCTCTCACAGTCTGCTAGTCCAGGGTTCTGCTAGTTTCCTGCTGCCCACTCCTACTGTACACCAGTCGTGACGGAATAAAGTGTGAGTTGTGCTGTGCCCATTGGTGTCCGGCTCTTCTTTTACCACGTTACCCGGCTGGCACGCTATGACATTCAGTTTATGGCTAAGCCGAATGATTTCTCCTTGCTCTTTCGTGATGGGAGGTAAGAGGGAGTGGCAAGAGGAAGGAAAGGAGAGAGGGAAGATGGAGGAGGGAATACAGTCAAAGTACGTGGTATATTTACAAGAAAATGTCTTTGTGAAACCCGTCTCTATGTGCAGTGAATACACAGCAATAAAATTGCCTTGAAGTCAGTTTTGGTTTTCATTTGTTTTATGGTAATCACCTTAAGGAAGTTTGAACGTTATTTTTTATGAGGTTTTTGTATTCCAATAACTTTTTTAATCTGAAAGAGCTGTGTTTTATTAAAAATAATAAATGTTCGCTGTACAAATAAATACAAGTAATACAAAAAATACTATTAAAAAAGTAAAGCCTAGCAGCTAAAAGCACTTACCACAGAATCCTGAAAATCAGAATCCGATCCCCAAGACTCACGTAGAAGAAGAGAACTGACCCCAAAAGTTGTCCTCTGATGTTCACACTTGCAAGGTGGCATGAACATATACGCATAACACGAAATGCTAATAATAAGATGTATTTCAATGTTTAAAGACATAAACCGCCCAAAATTTTATCACCCATAGATAACTACAGTTGATACTTTAGAAGATACCATACATTTATGAATAGATGTTAATGAAAATTTTGAATGATTTAACATCCTTGTAATGTTCTAGAGTCTTTGCTCGGCAATAGATTAAAGGCATTGTCCCACCTCAATAAAGACAGAGGTATATCATCAGCGGTAGCTTCCCCCAGTGTCCCACAATACAGTTACAGGGCGACTTTTTCTAAATTACACCGTTAGATCACACACGTCTGGGATGTCCACGTTGCTGCTAGGGCTCATCAGATTGTCAGAACTTGCCACTTAGAAGCTTCCACACAGCTCTGTAGTTAGTTCCGTCCTACCATATGGGATGCTGCCAAGCAGATGCACAGAGCGTCCTGAAGTCCTTGGAGGAGGTTGTTGCTGTACTCGCACCTTCTCAGGTGATGCACGTCCATGAATTTAGGTCGTCGCTGATATTGCCAATAGAGATAAAAATGGCTCGATGCCAAGTACCATCTCTGCAAGCCTGCTCTTGACCCAAAAGGAGATGCCCCATACACACTGAGTGCCGGAGCCCAGAGCCCATCACCCAGGGAAAAGAGCATTCTTCTTACAGAAAGCCTGCATGGCAAGGGCCCCCTAACTGATTTTGCCCAAAGCTTTTCAAGTAAACAAATACCCTCTCACAATACACTGCCATGTCTAGAAATGGGAATGCTACCAAAGACTACAAGCCAACAGTAGTTTTAGACAGGTGGGCACACACTTACCAAGTGCCCACCCTTGCCAGGCGCTAGGCCACAGTCCCTGTCTTGTGAGAGCTGCCTGCTTGGGAGAAGCAAGGAAGTTAAGACCTCAAGTGCACAGATGTTTGGGTTAAACATCAGGCAGCGTAAGAATCGTTAAAGAACAAGGGGTTGCTGCTGTACCCAGGTCCTACTCAGAAAAGTGGTGATGTGCACATGAATAGAAAATAGCAAAATGTTTTCATTCAAAAGCAAAATAAAAGTACAAGCCAGATACATTGTTGGAGAACACTGGGACATCTGAGCTGGAGTGACAAACAGCACTAGGTTACTGTTTGAGTCTTTCAGAGAAAGAAGACATGATTGCTAAGGAGCAAGGCTTGATGACGTCACGTTTTGACTGACGGAGCTGGGTTACATAAGGATTTGTTCACTGTGCATGCCTTTTCCCATAATGCATTTTATTTTAACCATATGCACTACCAAGTGTATATAGGTATAAGATGAAAAATGGAGGTTACCCCCCCAAAAATACACTCAGAAGAAGCAGTCATCATTACTGAGCGTACACCCCCAACCCAGTCTAATCTGGACAGGTCCATTTCTCTTAAACTGCAGGACATGTTTGATCACAAAAGAGGAGTTACTAAGACAGTGCTTGGGAGGACCAACCTATTGCATTGCTTCCAGTGATGTTTGCATGCAGTTCACGGCTCTCTCCATGTGTGTGTGGGGGGGGCAGCTTGCAAAGAGCTTTGTACGGAAGGAGTGTGTGTGTGGCTCAAGCCGAGTGAGTTTGTAGACTGATAAACTATTGCTACACTTGCTTTCCTCATTGTTGGAGGATCCAAGTCTGCTCTGGCTTCAGCGGGTTGGTGCAGGAGCACCGGGGCTCCAAGCTGCAGGAGCAGCTGGAGGAGAAACAGCAGGAGCACACGGTGTGTACATTCCAGAACTGGTGTTCTGCTACACACTTGGGAATGAGGGTCACAGCTCCTGCCTTCTTGAAGATGGCATATAGCCTGGAGAAATGCTCAGCAGTTATGAGCCCTGGCTGCTCCTCAGTGGGACCCAGGTTCAATTCCCAGCACCCACATGGTGGGCCACAATGGTCTGTAACTCCAGTCTCAGGGGGATCTAGTGCCCTCTTTTGGCCGGTGCAGGTACCCGTGCAAATGGTACAGAGAGATAATGCACAGTTCACAGACATACATGCAAACAAAATACCCATGCGCATGCAGTATGTAAATGAGCTAAGGGAAAGGGTATGCGTGGCAGTGGGGTCAAGATCTGTCTGGCTGAAACTGATGAACGTACGAGTGTGAGAGAGAGAGAGCGCAGGGGGAAGTCAAGGGCCCTCATGCTGAGGTCGAGCACTTGACAGCACTCGCCAGTCTGTAAGGGTTACCCAGGGACATCTGAGTCACCCAGTAGTAGTGGGCTTGACCTGGCAGCATTACAAGAGACAACTGGGAAAGACTAGTGCATCTCTGATCTCCCCAAGTTTAGTTTACTTAAACATTTCTTCTTACCATCAGAGCCTGAAAGCCAAGCAATTAACTCTTCCTCTGTTTGCTCTCCTGAAAAATAAATAAATACATAAAGGTTGATAAGAGCTGCCTCCCAACTCCAAAGGGACATTGTCAATGCAAATGAGACAAGGGAACCGAGGGCTTCTTTAGAAGGAAGGTGTAATTGTAACTACCATTAGCATCATCATTACCCTCATTAACTCCTATCGCTGCGTTGTTTGGATCCCATCAAAATGTCAACGTCTATTTGAAACATCAGTCAGCCACTCCAGAAATAAGTGTGGATTTTCATCGTCGATGCTGCCAAACTGAACTGAGACACCTTTCACGGTGAATTCACAGGTGTCCTCGGCATGTGATGTGGCGGCTGCATCCCTCCCTCTTCCACTACAAAAGGTGGGGTGCCCCTATCTCCTCCCCCCTACAAGCAAATATCTCCAATGTAGTGAAAGCCGGGTTGCTTTTAGCACATGGTATCTGGGGTTATCGGCTGTTCGAGGCCATTGGGCTGCCAAGTATGCTACTGTCACTATAAATAAATAAAAGACTCAAAGAACTATGCCAGAGAGACACTTGATAGAACAGAGTCTAGGCTGGCTTGTGACATGACTCCTGAAGGGTGTGGCATGTTGCTAGGTGTTGGGAAGCCCCCTCTATTTATTTATAGATGCTTCAGTAGCTTTATTTAAGTTCAGCCAAAGTGCTTCGGTGTGTTAACATGGGCCTAGGAAGGCAGCTTGCTTTTCCCTAGCCTGGACTTTTTTTTGAGTTTGAGATAAAAGACCTAAATTTAAACAGTATATATTTAAGTTTTATAACTTGACATTTTGGTGTACATATAAATTATAACATAATTGCATAATATAGTTGCCATTTTCTCTGTGTAGAATATTTAAAATCTTTCAGTAGTGTTAGCTGTGGTCTATGGATGATGTTAGTAGTGGTCTATGGTTTATGTTAGCTGTGATCCTATGGCTAATGTTAGCTGTATTCTTATAGTTGATGTTAGCTGTGATCCTGTATTTGATGTTAGCTGTGATCTATGGCTGATGTCAGCTGCGATCCTATGGCTGATATAGAACTAATTTATCTCATGTATCTGAACTTTATACTTGACCCACATCATCAATTGGTCTGTTAACAAATTCTCCCTTTAAAGGTAATTTCATGTACTTGTTCATGGACAAGGAAGCTTATTAATAGAAATTTGAGTTATACCCTAAGAGGAGCCAGCTCCCCAAAATACAATCAGAATACTACATGCTGTGTGTTGAAATGCCCTCTGTCCCAGCAAAGTACAAAATCTGCTTATTCTACACTGGTCCCAGAAAAAGTTCAGACAGCAAAACAAGCAAGAGCCCAGCTCTGTAGAAATGTTAGCTTTATTACTTCTGGAAGGAGCTCGTGGGACAAACACTGATATTCATGCACCCAACAGAGGTTCAAAATTCCAGGGCAGGATGTGAACAAGTCATGCATTTTCTTTGCTGGGGACCCAGATGAGTGTGTAAGATTCCCCAGGCTAGCACCAGGACAGAAACAGAAACATCAGGCCTTTCTTGTGCCTTCTTTCTTGTGCTTTTTTTTTTTTTTTTTTTTTTTGGCTTAAAAGTAATGGGAAGACAGAAGGAACATTGTTACCAGGGCAAGACAGCGATGAGGGCCAAGAGCCACCTCTGCCACTTGTGACCCTAGCACTCAGGAGCCGAAAGTGAATCACCCTGAGTTCCGGGCCAACCTGGGCTACAGAGTAAGAACCTATCTCTTAAGTAAACTAACTTTAAAGTCAATAAAAAAAAATATGGGCGAATTTTTAAAACAGAGTCCAGCAGGAAAGTAGAATTCACTGTGACTTTGGAAGAAGAGTCTAACAGTAACTCTGAAGACCATTTATTGAAGATCTTGTCCACAGGTCTAAGTGCTAACGTCTGTACAAGGGCTGAAGGAGACACCCCAAATCCAGCCAACAGCAGGGCTCCTCCTGGGATCATCAGGGCCAGGCCAGGGGCTTGTGTCACTAAAAGTGGACAAGAAGGCAGGTCTTGAGCAGGGCAGGCTCCCAAGCAGAGAAGATGCATGCCACCCCTTTGTCATCGTGCTTG